GCAGCATTAAGGGGTAAGGTGGTATGGGCTGTTCATGAGCGGCTTCTGCACTTGGGGGTTCACAAGACCTTTGCCACGCTCCAGCTCGATTTCTTCTGGCCGGGCATGGCAAAGGACGTGGGGGATCTCCTGGGGTCGTGCACACAATGCGCGCAGTGGAAGCCACCTGCTAGGGGGTCCAACCCTCCGCTGCAGTCCATAAAGGTTTCCCGGGTTAACGAGCTCGTTGCTCTAGACATACTCGGCCCATTTCCCGCTACACCCAGGGGGAATAGGTATTTATTGACAGGGGTCGAGTACTTCACGAGATGGCCTATGGCCTGGCCCCTGGCCAACCAGTCGGCAGCAGCCATCGCGGAGGCCTTTGTCCAGGGCTATGTCCTCGACAAGGGTGCTCCGGAACGGCTGCTTACTGACCAGGGTAAGAATTTTTCGGGAAAACTCCTCCGCGAGGTGTGCGACCTCTTGGGTACGGAGAAAATTCGGACCTCCCCGTATCACCCACAAACTGACGGGATGGTGGAACGGCTGCATCGGACCATCACGTCTATGCTGTCCCAGCAGGTGTCAGTATCCCAGACAGATTGGGACCTTCGCATAGCCGGTGTGTTGCAGGCCTACAGGATGGCTCCCCATGCGGCCACCGGATTTTCCCCTTTCTTTTTAATGTATGGACGCGAGGCTAACCCCCCTGTAACGACCCAGCTGAATTTCTCGGCGCCCCAGGCGAAGTCTAACTTGTCCGAACACGTTAAATTTAACATCAGCAAATTGTCTGAGGCGCGGGAAGCGGCCATGCAAAATTCTGAACTCCGCCAGAGGGCGAACGAGAGGCTTCGGCTGGGGCGGGTACATGTGTTCAAATGGAAACCAGGGGACAGGGCATGGTTGCACTGTCCCCAGGTGCCGCTGGCAACCTCGTCAAAATTGGTACGGCCGTGGCGGGGGCCAGTGGAGGTCGTACAGGTCTTGCGGCCGCAATGTGTTCGCGTCAAATGGGGGAGGCGTCGGTGGTACGTGCACCCCTCAAGGTTGAAACCGTTCATCGCGCCGCCCCGTGGTTCACACACACACACGCATGGCCAAACGTGTGAGGGTTCCGCCGACTCCCCGACGTCGCTGCTCTCGCCTAACCTGACATCAACTGTTCCGTCTCCAGGTGCAACAGGAGTGACGGGTCCACGCCCGCCAACCCCTCCCGGAGGGGTCGGGGGTCACTCGGCAGCGACGCCAGACTCTCTTGCACCCGGATCGTCAACAACCGCCACTGAGCGTGCCGGGACGGGCCCTTGTGACGGGCCCGCCGCGAGAACGCGCGCCAAAACGCGCAGACTATTGTGAGGTCGGCCGTTGGGGGGCCTTGCGGACAGTGGGGGGGGTGGCGTCCGGAGTGCGTGTATATATGTCGGTTTTGGGGTATTTATTCGGGGGGGTGCGTCGGGTTATTTTTTTTTTCTCTTCCTGTTGTTGTTCTTGTTATGGTTCTCTTTGTTCTTGTTAAAATTACGCGAGGCACACACACGGTTTTCGGGTGAGATGCACCTTTATTCTAATTTTTTTTGCAGCCGGGGACGGCTGCGAGCTGTACAGGGGGGGGGATGTAGAGTTGTAATTGTGCATGGCCACGGATGTTGAGGTGTAATTGTGCATGGCCACGGATGGCTAACAAACACAAGGGTCGGGGTTACGGCCGTACACAGGGGAGGTGCTCGCACCGACGTCCGCACCTGCATCCCCCACGGGCCCCTCCCGGGGGCCGAGCCCTATAAAAGGTGGTGAGCCGGAGGGCTCGAGGTCGGAGCTCAGCTTTAACCAGAGAAGAAGGAAGACCTGCTAGAATAGGCCCCAGAGCTCCCCTGGCTCGCTGTCCTTATAAGGGCCGACCAGGGCAAGCCGGTGGCATGGCCCCGAGAGCCCAGACCGACGAGCAGGTCTGGAGACTCAGGGTGCCGGGATCCCAGCTTGACCAGGGCTGGGATAGATAGCCTCCCCTAGCTCCGTAGTGGAGGACTTGGGCATAGGTTAGCGGGGTTAGCTGTTGTGTATCCCTGTAGCCAAGTGACCCGTAATTACTGTGTATGCACAAGTTGGTGTAATAAACAAGTGTGCCTCCGATCCTGTCGTCAAGCCTCCTACATACTTACTACACTACCACCAGCCCTAACCCTACCCCACTAGACACTACCACTAGCCCTAACCCTACCCCACCAGACACTACCACTAGCCCTACTCCACCAGACACTACCATTAGCACTAACCCTACCTCACCAGACGCTACCACTAGCCCTAACCCTACCCCACCACACACTACCATTAGCACTAACCCTACCTCATCTTAAAGGTGCATTGAAAAATTATAATACTCCGATTGATGCTCCTGCTGTTGTGGAGTGGCTCATGCAGCCAGCTATGGCTGCAGGGTTTTGGTAGTAAATGTTTATGCCATTTATTGTGAAAATTCCGTCACAGTTCCTATGATTGCTTTTTCATTGCTTTCGTGGCTTTATTTTGGTGATTTCGAAAAGTGTATTGGTTTAGCCATGTTTGGTTGTTGTAGTACAGAGTTAGACTGATGGCCTTAATCTAAGTTGTCTTATGGTTGTTGTTGTTGTTGTTTGACTTGCATCCCACTGGGATTTTTGCACACAGCGTTGGTGTACGGTGTTTTTTCCCGTAATATTTTGCTGTCTTTTCTTGGATTTTCTGTTTGCACTTAGTCACATATTCACTTTAAGATGTTTTTGTTCTTGTATTTTGTTTGTTGCGGTTGCACCCGATTCAAGAGCCGAATGGCTCACAGGGCTATACCTAATAAATGAACTTAAACTTGAACCAAACACTACCACTAGCCCTACCCCACCAGACACTACCACTAGCCCTAACCCTACCCCACCAGACACTACCATTAGCACTAACCCTACCTCACCAAACACTACCACTAGCCCTACCCCACCAGACACTACCATTAGCACTAACCCTACCCCACCAGACACTACCACTAGCCCTAACCCTACCCCACCAGACACTACCACTAGCCCTACCCCACCAGACACTAACACCAGCCCTAACCCTACCCCACCAGACACTACCACTAGCCCTAACCCTATCCCACTAGACACTACCACTAGCCCTACCCCACCAGACACTACCACCAGCCCTAACCCTACCTCACCAGACACTACCACTAGCCCTAATCCTACCACACCAGACACTACCACTAGCCCTAACCCTACCCCACCAGACACTACCACTAGCCCTACCCCACCAGACACTACCACCAGCCCTAACTCTACCTCACCAGACACTACCACCAGCCCTAACCCTTTCCCACTAGACAATACCACTAGCCCTAACCCACCAGACACTACCACTAGCCCTCACCCTACCCCATCAGACACTACCACTAGCCCTAACCCTACCTCACCAGACACTACCACCAGCCCTAACCCTACCCCACCAGACACTACCACTAGTCCTAACCCACCAGACACTACCACCAGCCCTAACTATACCCCACCAGACACTACTGTAATAAAGGACTCTTTCACAGTGTAGATCTCCGTTGTCCTTTATTCGGGTTCTTGTCTCTCTCTCGCCCCTACGGCGTCCTCGCTCAGACCCGCACCTCCTCCACCGTACACCCTGCAGCCACACTGCTGCTCCGTCTGCAGCTACACTGCTGCTCTGCTCTGCAGCCACACTGCTGCTCTGTAGTGCCCCATACACTCTGCTAGCTCTTCACGCCCGGCTAGCTTCCCACACTCCACTAGCTCTGCTGTGCCCCACGTACACCACTGGCTAATGGTGCCGTGGCCTTCTACCACGTGGCAATCGCGCCACCCTCTCGCCACTGCCCAGCGTGGCCTCCTCCTGTTTCCACTCCGTCTCAACTCCCCGATCCCTTCCGGTTCTCCCCCTAAATCCTCTCTCTCACGTGACCCAGACTCCTCCTTCTCCTCACGTGACCCAGACTCCGCCCCCTCATTCCTTGCTCGCATTACACTACCACTTGTCCTAACCCACTAGACACGACCACCAGCCCTCACCCTACCCCACCAGACACTACCACTAGCCCTAACTCTACCTCACCAGACACTACCAATAGCCCTAATCCTACCCCACCAGACACTACCAATAGTCTTAACCCTACCCCACCAGATACTTCCACTAGCCCTAACCCTACCCCACCAGACACTACCACCAGCCCTAACCCTACCCCACCAGACACTACAACTAGCCCTACCCCACCAGACACTACCACCAGCCTTAACCCTACCCCACCAGACACTACCACCAGCCCTAACCCTACCCCACCAGATACTACCACTACCCCTAACCCTACCCCACTTGACACTCCCACTAACCCTACCCCACTAGACACTACCACGAGCCCTAACCCTATCCCACGAGACATTACCACCAGCCCTAACTCTACCCCACCAGACACTACCAATAGCCCTAACCCTACCCAACCAGACACTACCACTAGCCCTAACCCTACCCCACTTGACACTCCCACTAGCCCTACCCCACTAGACACTACCACTAGCCCTAACTCTACCCCACCAGACACTACCACTAACCCTACCCCTACCCCACTTGACACTCCCACTAACCCTACCCCACTAGACACTACCATTATCCCTAACTCTACCCCACCAGACACTACCACTAGCCCTAACCCTACCCCACCAGACACTACGACCAGCCCTAACCCTACCTCATCAGACACTACCACTAGCCCTATCTCACCAGATGCTACCACTAGCCCTAACCCTACCCCACCAGACACTACCACTAGCCCTAACCCTACCTCACCAGACACTACCACTAGCCCTAACCCTACCTCACCAGACACTAGCACTAACCCTAACCCGACCCCATCAGACACTATCACTAGCCCTAACCCTACCCCACCAGACACTACCACTAGCCCTAACTCTACCCCACCAGACACTACCTACTAGCCCTAACCCTACCCCACTAGACATTTCCACCAGTCCTTACACGCAGGTTACTCCAGACCAAAATCGTGGACATGTGTCATCGGTCAGCCTAGTTTTATTATCACGAGACCTGTGTGGTCTCCTGCAGTAAGGTTCCACACAGCAGCACCAGAGGATTACAGGCGCCGGCCCGACTCTCCGCCTACCCGTACAGAGACTCCCGGCCGCTCGCGTCCACATACTCTCCCCGGGGATTCACTCTCACATTCGACGGGTTTGAGAATTCCAGCAATAAGGGGGGTTCCAAGAGTCGTACACGCGCGATGCGTGTTCACGAGGAAGCGGGAGGTTCATGGCGTCCGGCAGCATAGCCGGTGTGCGCGGCTGAGCCGTGGCTCCCAGGGCAGCTATGCCACAATGGCAAGGAGATGCCGACTACCTCGACTGGTATGCAAGAGGTAGTGCAATAGATCCCGACCCTGATGCCTGCTGTATATTTGGAGTTTGTGTGCGTCTCTCTCCCCGTGGTTGCGTGGATTTTTCTACGGGTCTTCCAGTTTTTCCCTCCATATATAGAATCAACGTCACGTGGTTTCGAGTATTTGGCTGCTGTAAAATTCCACACAATGATAAGCCACTTCGTTTGGCTATGATTTTTGATCGCCATGTCGCTTCTGAAAAAAAGCTACATAGCTCAGTCGGCCTTACCTGGTAAAATAAAAATAGTTTATAGTTTAATAATGACGCGGAGCCGGCATGGCCGAGAGCCTAGATTCCACACCAGGATAGAGCCCCAACCCACGACAATTAAACCGGGGTCTGGGACTCGCATAGAATCACACACACGCCCATATACTCACAAAGAGAGCCATAGACTCACACAGAGAGCCATAGACTCAAACAGAGAGCCAAGGACTCACAAAGAGACTGATAGACTCACAAAGAGACCGATAGACTCACAAAGAGACCGATAGACTCACATGGAAACCCATAGACTCACATAGAGACTCATACTCGCGTATTAACGTCCACACTCACAGTGTAAGCGAGTTGATGGTCTGGTCACAAATGACGGCACAAACACGCAAGAAACTCAAAATTAAATCTGGTCTCGCACTTTAGCTTTTACCGATTTCCAGCTCTGCAAAAGAAATCACACTGTCGAGACTGCCACGGGACGGGCGCCGCTCTCCCCGAGCGATGGTGCCCCCCAGGAGTGTGTGGGCAACGCAGGGCATGTGGGAGTGTGTGTGGGCAAGGCAGGGCATTTGGGAGTGTGTGGGCAAGGCATGGTATGTGGGAGTGTGTGTGGACAAAGCAGGGCACGTGGGAGTGTGTGTGGGCAAGGCAGGGCACGTGGGAGTGTGTGTGGGCAAGGCGTGGTATGTGGGAGTGTGTGTGGACAAAGCAGGGCACGTGGGAGTATGTTAGCAAGGCAGGGCACGTGGAGAGTGTGTGTGGGCAAGGCGTGGTATGTGGGAATGTGTGTGGGCAAGGCAGGGCACGTGGGAGTGTGTTGGCAAGGCAGGGAATGTGGGAGTGTGTGTGGGCAAGGCAGGGAACGTGGAAGTGTGTTGGGCAAGGCAGGGCACGTGGGGACTCTCGGGGACGCATGGGGAGATTCACCGCTCGCCCTCGCAGAAGGCCCGTGGCGGCCCAATCGGGGTAAGGGAAAGCGTTATTCCACGCACGGGGGGGAGGAGGAGGAATCGCCTGCGTGTTTGTGTTGTTATTGTTGCTTACATTCCCAACCACCCCACGCCACGATGACGATGATGACGACGACGATGATGAAGACAACAATAACAACGAATATGATGATGACGATTATTTTCACATCCACTCAGAGATCACGCATCCACCTGGCGTGCCGTGGCTAGGAGATGCCAACTACCTCGCCTGGTATGAAGAAGGTTGTGGGTTCGATCCCGACCCTGGACGCCTACTGTATATTTGGAGTTTGCACGTGTCTCTCCCCATTGTCGCGTGGATTTTTCTTCGGGTCCTCCAGATTTTCCCTCTACGTTTAGAATCAACGTGTGTTTATAGTCTTTGGCCGCTATAAATTTCCACGTGATGATAAGCCACTTCGTCGAGCTTATCATATTTCGGATATCCAGGTGGCTTCTAAAAGAGCTACATAGCTCAGTGGGACTTTACCTGGTAAAATGTAAAAGAGCTTAGTTTAATTTAATTTGAAGCTTTTGTGACTGCAGGAATCCATACTCTTTGGTTATTTTGGTAAAGTCACGTAGATAGAAAATTAATAGATCACGACGTTTAGATCGCAACACAAGCAACCGTCATCAGGTGAGACAAAAAAGCAGGGGAACTGCTGACGTAGGAGAAAGAGCTGCTGCAACAAGAGTTTATAAAAGCTTTTGGTGGGTGCAACCCAAGGGTAAGTGGGCGGAGCTAGAGAAGAAATTTGTACGTAAATGTAAGAGATTGCCATACTAATCTCTTACGTGACTTTACCAAAAGAACCAAAGAGCTTAGTTTAGTTTAAGGTCTGTCCCACTTCGTAACCGTGGTAGCTTCATTCACCACGTGCCGCATACACGGCCCCACCAGATGGTAAGCTGCCCCCACCGGGTGGTAACCTGGTCCCTGGTAAACAGCTCTGGTACGTAGGCCTTCTCTCCCATGCTAGCTGCAAGTCTTAGAAGAGGTGCGTGTACCCACACTTTACCCCACTGCGCAGCGTTCGCTCCGTGCTGTTCTGTCCCGGCGCCCGCCCAGTTCGCGAGGCTCAGCGGTGGAGCCAGGCTGGAGCCAGGCTGGAGCCAGGCTGGAGCCAGGCTGGAGCCAGGCTGGAGCCAGGCTGGAGCCAGGCTGGAGCCAGGCTGGAGCCAGGCTGGAGCCAGGCTGGAGCCAGGCTGGAGCCAGGCTGGAGCCAGGCTGGAGCGAGTGGACGGCTGTGAGTTCACGATCTAGACGGAGGTTGGGGGTGGGGTTGACTTGGGGCCCCATCACAGCTCTGTGCAGTCGATAAAACGAGCGCCACGTTGTGGGGAAGATCGACGGAGGTTGTTGCCCTCGGCCACAGCAAAGTGTAATTCCTACCACCGGCTCTGCAAGGCTGTGAACGGGATGCGAGCACCAATGCAGTGAACGGGTGCCACACGCTCTGCCATCTGGCGCGAGTGTTAGGAGTCACCGCCTCCTCCTGCTCCTCATCCCCACACGCACAAATGCGGGGCTCATTCAGTGCCGGTGCAGTTGTTGTTGTGGTCGAGCGTGAGGATCACTCGCTCATCCGTTCATTGTTCGCAACTTCATCACCGGCTGTCACTGCTGCAAGAGTTTTGAGAGTGAACCCGGTGAAGAATCCCCCAAACCCACCAAAGCCACCAGGAGGAAACGTACGGCGGCTCCTGCTTGCAGTAGGCGGGGTGGCGGTCACGGCAGCAGCGGCTGCAGCAGTAGCAAGTAGTGGTGACGCCCGGTACAGGCGACGGTAGTCGTTACCATAGCATTGCCAAGTGTGGGCTCCAGGCAGTGTGTTTGCTGTTGGTCGCGGTGGTTGTGGTGGTGATTGTTGCGGAAAGTAGGCGGTACAGCTGGTGCAGCTAGTGCATCTACCGGTGATCTCAGGCCTGGCACAGGCGCCGCGGTGACGTCGTCGTCACTTAGTGGCGAACGGCGGCTGCATTGGTGGTGGTTGTGAGAGTCAGGGGACGCAGCAGCAGCTGCAGTCTCTAAAACCGATACTCGTGAGTTCTGCCTCTCGAAGCGTTCACGGCTCCTGCGGGAGCTGAAGAACAGGGGCGGGGGGGGGGGAGACGGGAGGTGGGGGGCGGGTCCACAGCCCACCCACAGCATCCACTCAAGGGGGTCATGGATGATGGTGGTGGTGGTCACGGAGGTCACGAGGAGCTGCCCAGTCTCCAGCCTCCTGGGCCCACCTGGGTGAGACAGCAATGGGAGTGAGGTGCCGGAGGGGAGGGGGGTGTAACTGTGGCCACAGTGAGCAAAGGTCCCACAACAAACAGCCACCATCGACGGTTTGTGATAGATGACAGGAATAAAGAAAACTGAGAGGTATAAAGACGATTTTATTACTGAGTGGTATGAAGACGATTCTACTACTGAGTGGTATGAAGACGATTCTACAACTGAGAGGTATAAAGGTGATTCTACTACTGAGAGGTATAAAGACGATTCTATTACTGAGTGGTATGAAGACGATTCTATTACTGAGTGGTATGAAGACGATTCTATTACTGAGTGGTATAAAGGCGATTCTACTACTGAGTGGTATGAAGACGATTCTGCTACTGAGTGGTATAAAGACGATTCTATTACTGAGTGGTATAAAGACGATTCTGCTACTGAGTGGTATGAAGACGATTCTGCTACTGAGTGGTATAAAGACGATTCTATTACTGAGTGGTATGAAGACGATTCTACTACTGAGAGGTATAAAGACGATTCTATTACTGAGTGGTATAAAGACGATTCTGCTACTGAGAGGGGGAAAGGTTGCGTAGCAGCCAGGCGGTAAGCATCCGGCGATCGTTGTCACCATGATCGCCGCAGTCAGTGGGGAGGAATTGGAGCATCCGCCGTTGCTCCCGAGCCACATGAGGATGAAGTACAGACTCATGAGGGTGAGTGGCTCTCACCGGTGCTGGTGAGAGTGAGTGGCTCTCATCGGTATTGGTGAGGGTGAGTGGCTCTCACCAGTGCTGGTGAGGGTGAGTGGCTCTCACCGGTGCTGGTGAGGGTGAGCGGCTCTTCGTTGGGCCTGGCCGTGGCTGCAGTGGTGGCGGCCGCACCGGCGGCTCCATCGCCGGGAGTGACGATGACTTACCGAGACGGCGCACGCCGCCTCGAGGGTCTGTGAAAGTACAACAATCTTTACCACTACCACAACCACCACAAAAACTACCACATATTCACCATCACCACAACCACCACAACCAGTCCAACCTTCACAACCACCATAACAACCACCACAACCTTCACCAAAACCATTAACACCACAACCACCAACAACCGCCATCAGCCACTAAATGGCAGTGACGTCACCACGGCACTTGTGCCAGGCTATGTGCACTTTAAGGCCACGTGAAGTGTCGAATGCCCGCTGGCAGGAGGTCACAGGACAGACCCAGGTGCCATGAGTTGACTGAGATCACTGGCCGATGCACCACCTGTGCCGCCTACTGTGCCAACTTGCTCTGTTTTAGCCGCCCAGAGCTCCATTTGTTGTTGTGAGTGTCGCTCCTCTGCCCTCCGTTGTTGCTGGGGGCGACTGCCTCCAACTGCCCAGTAGCATCCTTGACAAGCCTCTACAATAGAGGCCAATCTTGACGCCACTGGTACCAGTCGTCAGCAAGTCAACTCAGCTCCACATCCTCTTGTACCACATCAGTCCATCTCTTACTCTTAAAGTCACGTAGGTTAAAAAAGAAAGCAAATAAATTAAACCACGACGTTTCGGAGGCAACACAAGCTTCCGTCTCTTTGTGTTGCCTCCGAAACGTCGTGATTTAATTGATTTGTTTTCTTTTTTAACCTACGTGACTTTACCGAAAAAACCAAAGAGTATAGATCCTTGCAGTCACAAAAACTTCAAATCTAGAATTAGTCCATCTCTTTTCCAGCCCATGTTGTGCCCGTTTAGCCCCCTAGATCCAGCAAAACAGAAGTTGCATGGGCATGCGGTGGCCGGGCATGCCGGCTGCATGACCCAGCCAACGCACCCTTGCCATGGAGGAGCTCACTGATGGGAATGTGTCCAGATCTTTCAAGGATTTGTGAGCTCCTCACACAATCCAGCCTGGTTAACTCCAAGATTGATCGTAGCCAGGCCAGCCTAAATGTTTCCAACCAGTGCAGATGTTCCATTAGAGGGGTCCATGTTTTGCAAACATAGAGCAGAAAGGGAATGAATTTGGCCGAAAAGACCCGAAGCTTCGGGCGGAGCGACAAACCAGGTGGCTTCGACACAGCGTTACGCAGCCAGTGAGACCTCTGCTGTCAAACCAGAGCTGGTCATTAGCACACTGCCCAGGTTTGGAAAACTCTCCACAGTCTCCACAACTGCCCCATCACTTCTAGATTTGAAGCTTTCGTGACTGCAATGATTCATATTCTTAGGTTTTTTCGTGAAAGTCACGTAGGTCACGTAGGTAAAAAAATATTTAAATTAATATAAGTAAAATAAAATAAAAATCACGTTTCGGAGGCAACACAAGCTTCCGTCGTCAGGTGGAACCGTCACAACCCGACAGCTGTATCAAATAAATGAGAGATTACAGGAGATACCACACCGTATATATAATGGTTGAGGGGGGGGGGCAGGAATGGCCCACTTTGTATTATTATGGTAAGGTGCGGGTTTGAGACTATGAATAGACTGCATAACAAAAGACTGAGCCTTATTATGGAGAGGTTCGGTTAGTGACTACGCCTGGCCTACATAACAAAAGTGTGAAAAAAGAAAGCTTAACCTGGTAGAAAGCTAAACATGGTAAAACAAAACTGGCTGTCTATCAGTAACCTGTAATAGTTTTCTGTCAAATAAGATGGTCCAAATAAGTGTAGTTAAATCTTTTTTGCATGGTTAATCACATCTTTCCAATGATTAAAGGTGCGGCTTGAGACTATGAATAAACTGCATAACAAAAGACTGAGCCTTTATTATGGAGAGGTTCGGTTTGTGACTACGCCTGGCCTACATAACAAAAGTGTGAAAAAAGAAAGCTTAACCTGGTAGAAAGCTAAACATGGTAAAACAAAACTGGCTGTCCATCAGTAACCTGTAATAGTTTTGTGTCAAATAAGATGGTCCAAATAAGTGTAGTTAAATCTTTTTTGCATGGTTAATCACATCTTTCCAATGATTACTCAGTTTGTAACCATCATCACGGTTGAAATTATGTCTGTGTTTGTATATTTGTATGGCTTCGTGTGCAAACCTTTGATGGTAGCCAGGAGGTTTGCAGAGCACCTTGGTCTCGGAAAAGACAAATTCATGAGAGCCCACAGAGTTGTAGCAATGATCGGCAACGGCCGAAGAATCAGTTCTGCCGTGTTTCAGATCTGACTTGTGCTTGCGGACACGATCAGAAACATGACGTTTCGTTTCTCCAATGTAGCAATCACCACAACTGCAACTCAATTTGTAGACTCCAGGATACTGTAAGTCAGGAACGACATCCTTCACAGATGGAATCAGATCACGGATTTTATGCACTGTACTGAATCGGACTTGGATCTTATGTTTGTTTAGAATTTTGGAGATCTTTTTGGTCACGCCTGCTATGTATGGTAACGTGATAGTTTTGGTCGGAGTTTCATGTGGCTGTTTCTGTATGGTGGGAGAAACAGCTTGGCGGATGGTGCGGTCAGAGTATCCGTTCATCCTGAGGGCCCGATGTACATGTCTTAATTCGCCGGCCAGGTGGTGTTGGTCAGAAATGCCATGGGCTCTGTGGTATAGCGTTTTGATGAGAGAATTCTTTTGAGATGGGTGGTGGTGGGAATCCGGTTTCAAGTAGGAAACGCTATACCACAGAGCCCATGGCATTTCTGACCAACACCACCTGGCCGGTGAATTAAGACATACATGTACATCGGGCCCTCAGGATGAACGGATACTCTGACCGCACCATCCGCCAAGCTGTTTCTCCCACTATACAGAAACAGCCACATGAAACTCCGACCAAAACTATCACGTTACCATACATAGCAGGCGTGATCAAAAAGATCTCCAAAATTCTAAACAAACATAAGATCCAAGTCCGATTCAGTACAGTGCATAAAATCCGTGATCTGATTCCATCTGTGAAGGATGTCGTTCCTGACTTACAGTATCCTGGAGTCTACAAATTGAGTTGCAGTTGTGGTGATTGCTACATTGGAGAAACGAAACGTCATGTTTCTGATCGTGTCCGCGAGCACAAGTCAGATCTGAAACACGGCAGAACTGATTCTTCGGCCGTTGCCGATCATTGCTACAACTCTGTGGGCTCTCATTAATTTGTCTTTTCCGAGACCAAGGTGCTCTGCAAACCTCCTGGCTACCATCAAAGGTTTGTACACGAAGCCATACAAATATTCAAACACAGACATAATTTCAACCGTGATGATGGTTACAAACTGAGTAATCATTGGAAAGATGTGATTAACCATGCAAAAAAGATTTAACTACACTTATTTGGACCATCTTATTTGACAGAAAACTATTACAGGTTACTGATAGACAGCCAGTTTTGTTTTACCATGTTTAGCTTTCTACCAGGTTAAGCTTTCTTTTTTCACACTTTTGTTATGTAGGCCAGGCGTAGTCACTAACCGAACCTCTCCATAATAAAGGCTCAGTCTTTTGTTATGCAGTCTATTCATAGTCTCAAGCCGCACCTTTAATCATTGGAAAGATGTGATTAACCATGCAAAAAAGATTTAACTACACTTATTTGGACCATCTTATTTGACAGAAAACTATTGCAGGTTACTGATGGACAGCCAGTTTTGTTTAACCAGTTTTAGCTTTCTACCAGGTTTAGCTTTCTTTTTTCACACTTTTGTTATGTAGGATAGGCGTAGTCACAAACCGAACCTCTCCATAATAAAGGCTCAGTCTTTTGTTATGCAGTCTATTCATAGTCTCAAACCGCACCTTACCATAATAATAAAAAGTGGGCCATTCCTGGCCCTTCCCCCCCCCCTCAACCATTATATATACGGAGTGGTATCTCCTGTAATCTCTCATTTACTTGATACAGCTGTCGGGCTGTGACGGTTCCACCTGAAGACGGAAGCTTGTGTTGCCTCCGAAACGTCGTGATTTTTTATTTTATTTTAGTTTTATTAATTTTAATTTTTTTTTACCTACGTGACTTTACCGAAAAAACCTAAGAATATGCCCCATCACTAATGGGGAGCTGAGGGGGTGGAGTGTTTAATGACACAACATACCCAGGCTGGTGCTTAGTTTTGGAGGGGCTGATGGTAAGTTCCCACCTCTTAGTAGCACACTCCAGGTTAAGCAGCAGCATCTCCAATTCCTCCTCTGAGTGAGAAGTAATCACCAGATCATCGCAGACATAACATGGTTGACCAATAGGGAGCCATCCCTCGACCACACCCGGCAATCTATCAGCCTCCCGTTGTATCTGTACCAGATGGAAATTTCTCCGGTATAGCCATGGGAAGCTTCTCAAACTACTTGATCAAAGATTATGTTAAATCATGTAGGAGCCAGAGGACATTCCTGTCGCACCCCAAGGTGAACATCGGAATGGCTCTGAATCCTGGACACGTAGCTTTATCCGGGCCTGTCCACCATTATAAAGGTCCTTAATGATTATTCTTTGGTTCTTTCGATAAAGTCACGTAGGTATAAAATAAAATAAATCACGACGTTTCGATTGAAAAACAAGCAATCATCATCAGCCTACGTGTTAAACTGAATCATCATCAGGTGGGAAAACCACAGCAAAAAACATTGTTTTGCTGAAGTGGGAGAGAGATGCCGTGGTAAGAGGTTATATAGGTAAGAAAGGGGGAGGGGCAAGAGGAGAAAGAGGGGGGGGGCTGCGTGGACGCTAGGAGAGGGACGTGAAGCTGGACGGGGGGAATTGGGCGGGGCTGGAAGTGGGAGGCCGAGAGAGCTGGGGATGCGGGGGGGGAAGTTAAATCGGAAAAATTAGACTAGTACCCGGCAGATATGATAGACAACCATAAAGCAGTTAGGGTTTTACCTGGTTAATAACATCTTTCCAATGATTGCTCAATTTGTATCCATCTTCTCGGTTGAAGTTATGTCTATGTTAATATATCTGGATGGCTTCATGAACAAACCTTTGATAGTAGCGCGAAGGTTTGCAGAGTACCTTGGTCCCGGAAACACAATATCATGTGAACCCACAGCGTTATAACAATGGTCAGCTATGGCAGAGGTATTGGTTCTGCCGTGTTTCAGATCTTCCTTGTGTTTGTGGACACGGTCCGAGACATGTAGTTTCGTTTCCCCGATGTACCTGTGTTGCAATCGAACCGTCGTGATTTATTTTATATCTACGTGACTTTACCGAAAGAACCAAAGAGTATGGATTCCTGCAGTCACTAAAAACTTAAAATCCTTAAAGATTCCGAGAGCATGAACAACAATCCAAAGCCCATGCCTATTGATGGTATCATAGTCCTTGACTAGGTCAATAAAGCAGAGATGTAGGTCTTGTTGGAATTTCCTACACCACTGCTGTAGCAGACGGACAGAAATATGGCATCTATGCAGGACCGCTCTGGCCTGAAACCACATTGGGGCTCCACAAGCCTCACCTCAGCGTGCCTGGCAAGGCGATACTCTTTGGTTCTTTCGGTAAAGTCACATATAAAGATAAATTAATAAATTAAATACTAGCATACGACGTTTCGATTGCAACACAAGCAATCATCATCAGGTATAAATGAAATAGAAACACAAATCTAGTATACTTAGAAATGTAATGTAATACAACAGAGAGTCGGATAACATAAGTCAACACCCTACCTGGTTGATTACGTTGTTCCTGAGAATGCTAAATTTGAGAGAGAGATAAAACACAGAACCAGAGACATATAGACAGATATATAAGCAGACAGATATCACAGAGATACATAGAGAGAGTCAAAACATAGGCACACAGAGAAACCACGCCTCTGTGTCAAGGCCTTAAATAGAGAGAGGGGGCGGGAGGCGGATAGAGAGGGAGGGGTTAGAGAAATTAGCATGTCAATAAGTGGCACGGTGAGTGGTACGGTGCAAAAGCTTGAAAAAATTAGGAGACAGGGAGAGAGAACACACTGAATGAAATAACACAGCAAAATTTCGAAATGTAATGTAATGCAACACAGAGAGTCGGTCAACACACAATTAACGCATAGCCTGGTTGATTACGTTTTTCAAAGATTGCTAAGTTAGAAGTTAAGTGTGAAATTTTAAAGAGAGACAAGACACAAACACGAAGAACAGTTTGGCAAGGCGATGTTGAGTAATCCTTTCCAGGACCTTTCCCAGAATAGAGAGGAGGGAAATGCCCCTGGAGTTGTTACAATCTTCTAATCCTGCAGAACCCATCCAGTGGTCCAGACTGTTGTGATGATATCATGCAGGGCAGTGTGCACACATACGCTGCCCTCCCCAAGCAGTTCGCTCGTGAAATCATCTCTGGCAGGTACTTTTTCTGGTCTCAGACTCCGGATCGCCTTCTGTACTCAACAGATGGCACCCTCAGTTAGCCAGGGAATTACTACTTCTTCCAATATTTGAGGCATCGCAGCCCTAGCAGGATCATCCCCACCTTGCCCCATGTTATCTGGGCTGAGGAATTTCCCATCCCCGAAGACCTCACAGAAATTCTCAGAAAACCTGCAAACCTGTTCTTGCAGGTCAGAGATCAGATCACCGTTCTCTCCCCGAAGGATGATGATAGGTGTAGCGCTTATGAAATTAAAGAGTGATTTGCGATAATTGGCTAATGAAGCAGACTCCATCTCCTCAGCAACCTGCGACCACCACCCATCCTTGCAGCGCTGCATGGCTCTTCACACCTCCAAGCAAAGGTTGCGGTCAGCCTCCTCATTCGCTGACATGAGATGCTGTAGACGGTGGGAGTGCGCCTGTCGCTTTTTCTCAGATAGTTGGAACACCTCCTTTATCAACTTGGGTCTCTGTGGAGGTCTGGATTGCGTACCCAACGCAGCTATTGCAGCAACGTAAGCCACATTCCACAACCAGCTGCAAGTAATAATGCAATTCTCGCTTGTAGCTTGCAGCAGCTAACTAAGACCAGGCCATTGTGGGTTTGAATGGCGTCCTGGATGGACACCCACTATCGCAGTGGAAGAATGGCAGGAGCATCTTACAGATGACAAGCAGATGGTCAGTGGGTAGATCAGCTCCACGGTAGGTCCTGGTGTCAAGGGCATGGGCCCGCATCCGCTGTTCCGTCACTAGAGAGTCCAGCAGATATTCTTGTTTGGACCCAGCGTGCATCTATGGTGTTGTGTGGATGCACCGATGCCGGAAAAGCGTGTTGGTAATTTCAATATCATGGGCTGCACAGAAGTCTAGGAGCCTCCTATCGTTGTTGATGAGCTGATATGGTCAAGGCCTTCCCATCACTCTGACCCAGGTGCCTGCATCACGACCCACTGTTCAGAAGAAGAGCCACTCCCTGTTGCTTAACAATTTCCTTCCCAGATTAGAGGACCAATTAGCACAGTTGGCTACGTACGGGGTGCAAGAATTTCAACATACGTACATACTGTCCACCCCTCAGTGACTGGAGTTGGAACCAGTCCATCTGTCTCCTGGCTCCACCAAATGGAGTTTGGCTAAGAGACGCCTGTCCACCTCAGAGGCTCCGGTAAAACTTTGATCTTTAATGCGTAGTTTTTTCATAATTTACAGAGCTGTTATGGTGTCTACAAGCACAATGAACGGAACAGCCAACTGAAATTGGCCTTCCCACAACAGCATTGCTCACAGCAAAAACTACCACAATTACAATATAGATTTGAAGTTTTCGTGACTGCAGGGATCCATACTCTTTGGTTCTTTCGGTAAAGTCACGTAGGTATAAATAAAATAAATTAAATCACGACATTTCGGGCGCAACACAAGCGTCCGTCATCAGGTGGGACAACCACAGCAAGAAACAATTGCTACACCATAGGGCCCACTGCATTTCTGACCAACACCACCTAGCCAGTGAATTGGAACATGGACACCAGGCCCTCAAGATGAATGGATACTCGGACCACATTATTCGCAAAGTTGTTTCTCCATCTCTAACCATAGAGAAACAACCCCCTGATATGCCGATCAAAACCATCACGTGACCATACATAGCAGGCGTTACCAAAAAGATTTCAAAAATCTTAAACAAACAAAGATCCAGGTCTGATTCAGTACAGTACATAAAATCCGTGATCTAATCCCATCTGTGAAGGATGTCATCCCTGACATGCAATATCCTGGAGTCTACAAACTAAGTTGCACCTGTGGTGGGTGTTACATTGGGGAAACGAAACGACATATCTCGGGCCGTGTTCGCGAGCACAAGGCAGATCTGAAACACGGCAGAACCAATACCTCCGCCGTGGCTGACCATTGCTATAAAGCTGTGGGCTCTCATGATGTTGTTTTTTCCGAGACCAAAGTACTCTGCAATCCTTTGGGCTCCTATCAAAATGTTTGTTCATGAAGCTATCCAGATATATAAACATAGACATAACTTTAACCGAGAAGATGGATACAAATTGAGCAATCATTGAAAGGATGTTATTAACCAGGTAAAACCTTAACTGCTTTATGGTGTTGTCTTCATATCCACATCTCCAGTTTCTTCTTCAGCCTCCCACTCCCAGCCCACTTCCCCCCGCCCGGCATTTTGCCTTGCTCCTAATCCCTCTAGCAGCCCTACACTTTCCCCTACCCCACACCCCCCTCTCTATCTCTCCTCCCTGGCTCCTCCCCCCTCTCTTACCTATGTAGCCTCTTGTCACGGCAGCCCTTTTGCCCACTTCAGCAATTGTTTCTTGCTGTGGTTGTCCTACCTGATGACGGACGCTTGTGTTGCACCCGAAACATTGTGATTTAATTTATTTTAGACCTACGTGACTTTACCAAAAAAACCAAAGAGTATGAGTACACCACAATTACCACAACCACCGCAACTACCACCGCAACCACCACCACACACCACCGCAAAAAAACACTAGAACCACCACCACTAGCAACAACCCGCCATTTGCCACTAATTGGCGGTGACGTCATGATGGTGCTTGTGCCAGACTGTGCGCACTTTGAGGCCACGTGAAGCATCCAACGCCCGCTTGCGGGAGGTCACGGGACAGACGCAGGTGCTATGGGTTGACTGACCACTAGTACCACCACTCACGAAAGTACCACCACCACCCCACCATTAGCACCACCACCCAAGCGCTGTGCACCTGCGTGTGCGGCAGGGCTGCCGGGCCTCACGAGCTGCCGGCCCGGCGACCCCGGTACCTCCCCGCCTCTCTCCGCCGAGCGGAGTCGCGGCATCGTGGGGTAGCCGTGCCACGCGAGTGCCGCCTGCCCCGCCGTCGCCGCAAAGCCGGCGCCCTTGGCGGGCAGCTGCTGAGCGCCGAGCGGATGCTGAGCAGCAGGCGCACCACCACCAAAACCGCTACCGCCACCACCACCGCCGCCACCACCCCCACCGTCCGCGTGCCCAATCTTGCCATGCGCCGACTGCGTGCGGTAAAGTTGCGGCGTCGCATTCTCACCTGCGGCGATCGCCACCGCCGCGTGACTCTGCTGCTGTTGCCTGTGGTTGTTGTGGTGCTTCTGATGGTGGTTGTGGTGGTGTTTAGTCCTGTGCTCCCTCCCCCGCTGCTGCTGCTCGGCTCGCCCCTTGCCCGTGCTCTCAAGCTGCAGGAGCCGCGTCACCTCGATGGGCGTGAGCGGGGACTCATCCGAGTTGGGCGAGCAGCGCGTCGGTGCCGGCGGGAACACGAGCAGGGGCGGGCGGTATGGGGGCAGGTCTGGGAACGGCGCCGGGATCGCGCTGGCCTCCGCTGACTCCGGCGCTGGCCCATCATCTGGCGCCACGAACCGCATCTCCTCATAGATTCCATCTCCCTCTTCATCGTCATCGTTGTCGTCATCGTCGCAGGCACCATCGGCGAGGGCGATGGCGCCGCCCTTGCCGTTCCCGTCTGTCGGCGCGGCGACGCACAGCATTTCGGCGTACACCGGCTCCTCATCCTCCTCACCGTCACCGGCACTGTCACTGTGCCGGGCCGCCTGCTCCAGTTCCGCAAAGCGACGGCCGCTGGTACTACATGGCATTGGAGGGGACGAGCGACCAGATTTTTGATCTCTCAGCGCCGTTACCGACGGGCAACTTGCCACAGCGGCAGCTAGCTGATGGTGATTCTGCTGCTGATGATGATGGGGATGCTTGTGAGGCTGCTGCTGCTGCCGGTGCTGCTGGTGGAGGAGCAGCTGGGAGTCACGCGCAGGCACGGTGGTGGCGGCGGAGGAGGAGGAGCGCGCCCGCTCCATCTCGGCACCGGCGCTTCCGGCGCGCCGGCGCATGTCCTCATGGGAGCTGCTGAGCCGCGTCTCCGGGTGTCGCTTGGGCTTGGGAGGCGGCTGCTTCTTGATGGAGCAGAACTCGTCGCTGTGTGGCCGCGGCTTCCCCGATCCTGCGCCTGCATGAGCACGCACACATGCACGCACGCACACATGCACGCACACGTGCACGCACGCACATGTACACACGTGCACACACGCACACACAAAGACAAAGGTTCCTTCCGTATAGCCCGTACAGAGCGTTGTGGGGTTAGTGACCATTAGCGAGCACCAGCACCCACGAAGGTCGGCACGACACGACACACGACATACGACAAGACACACGACACACGACACAGTGACATGACAAGGTACACGACAAGACACGACACAATACGAGACATGATGCATGACACATGACCATCATGAACAACCTTCATGATCGTTAGCAGAGTGTCTGGGACCTGGAAATTCATAAAGTAATAATCTACAGCTTCTAGCCTAAATTTCGATTTAAAGCTTTCATGATTGCAGGGATTCATCTTCTTGGTTCTTTCGGTAAAGTCACGTAGAAGGGAAGTAATAAAATAATAAAAATAAAACATAATAAAATAATTCTCACGACGTTTCGGCCACAATGCAAGCAGTCGTCCTCAGGTGAAAACCAGGTCTGTCGGGTTTGTCTATGGCAGTATATAGTACTAGCAGAAGTACCTGGCGTTGCCCGGGTGAAAAATATATTTCTTAATAACCTTACATATATACACAGATGGGCTGCTACCCCTGCCCCCCCCCCCCCCCAGCCACGATCTCCTCGGCCGCTGTGCAGTAATATGTACGGCCTATAGTGTGGTGGGGTGTCGAGACCTAGTACCGTGCAGAGCCTCCGGCCTCACCTAAATTGCCCACCCGGCTGAGGCTGGGTAATGTGGCCGTTACCCCCCCCCCCCCCCGCGCTACAATAATACTGTCTAATCGCTATAATTTTATTATCTAGCGACCCTATAATAGTAATTGCACACATTGGGGTGGGGGATGAGTGAAGAGGACGTGAAACTTTGATGAATTTACCTCAGAGTCGCGTGTGAATGCGTGCGCATATTTTTAACGGGAATTAAAAATGGCGTCCACCCCGCAGCGAATGCATCGCTAACCGTTGCCAGGGGCAACTGCCGTGGAAAACCAAACGGACCAATCGCGTCTCGCAAATCCCTCACATTTCGTCCAATGAAACTGCGTATGGTCCGGCGACACACAGACAAACAGACACACACACAGACAGACAGACAAACAGACAGACAGATTTGCGATTTTATATATATAGATGGTGTAGACTCGTGTGATGTAAGAGAATAAAGTTTATATGGAAGCATATGATATTTTTACGACGTAGAATTGTAATGTATTACTTACTGTTAGTAACTCAGCTTATTGTAGAGTATATTTAGTATACTGATGATACTATGTAGTTTATACTTTAGTTGTTTACGTGGTGGTTTTAGTTACTACAGCTACATACTATTAACACTCCTTCCCTTTATTAATGCTACCCCTATCCCCTCCCTTTGATGCTGCTAATCCTGCATAATGCACGGGTATAAGTAGTACTAATCACATACCTGAATTTCCCATATCCCCTCCCTTTGATGCTGCTAATCCTGCAAAATGCACGGGCATAAGTAGTACTAATCACATACCTGCATTTCCCATATCCCTTCCTTTTGATGCTGCTAATCCTGCATAATGCACGGGCATAAGTAGTACTAATCACATACCTGCATTTCCCATAAATATGCAAAATTCCTCTTGATATGCAAATTCTTTTGTCAAGGCGCCCTTTCCCCCCCTTCCAACCCAGCTTAAATATATGCTCCAAGCATGGTGCTGTTTCATTCAGACGCTGTCGCCTCGACAGACCTGGTTTTCACCTGAGGACGGCTGCTTGCATTGTGGCCGAAACGTCGTGAGAATTATTTTATTATGTTTTATTTTTATTATTTTATTACTTCCCTTCTACGTGACTTTACCGAAAGAACCAAGAAGAAGCTTCTAGCCTACTTGTTGGTATCAGTGCTCACAAACAAAAGACAAAGATGTCCCCCCAGTGTAGCCTTATCAAACTATTGGGGCAAGTGCTGTTCGTGAGTAGCACCTATGAAGGCCAGAACGGCACACGAGTGGGTGAGTGGCCAGCACCACGTTCGGCCTCCTATGTCTCCCCAGTGCCGATGTTTACACACCGCACCAGGTACTCATTTGAGGCCAAGTCAACCTAGGGGAGGCCCAGAACCGATTCAGTTAATCGTCACTGGTGTTGGCCATGAGCAGGAATCGAACTCGGGTCGTCGGGTTCGTAGCGCAGCATGCTAACTACAACACTACCAACCCTGTGTGTACAGATTTGTACACGCATGACTACATGAGTATTTGTGAGTGTACACGCACGACTACATGTGTGTGTACATGCACGACTACATGTGTGTGTGTGTACACGCACGACTACATGTGTGTGTGTGTACACGCGCGACTGTATACGTGTGTGTGAGTGTACAGACGCACACGTACGATCAACAATGCTGCTGGTGGGACAGGAAACGTCGCCTGAACCCTAATCAGAGTCCTGACCCTACTCCTAACCAGAGCTCTATCTAAACTATTAAACTAAAACTTTATTTTACCAGGTAAGGCCCACTGAGCTATGTAGCTTTTTTTCAGAAGCGACCTGGCCACCAATGGAAATGTATAGCAGCCACATAATTCGAAACGCGTGACGTCAATCCTAAATGTCGAGGGAAAAACTGTGACCACGGAGAGAGAGAGACATTCAAACTCCAAATATACAGCAGGCGTCAGGGTCGAGATCCTCCTGTATACCAGGCGAGGTCGTTAACATCTTGTCACTGCAGCGCCCTATCACTAAACATAGCCCTAACTCGAGTAATCACCCGAGTTCTATTCCTTGATCCCGGACCCCTGACACCTGGCCCCTGACCGTTCTCAGCAGGGCTCCTGGCTGGCTCCTCGGGGGCAGAGCCTCCGCTCACGGCCTCCGTCGATTGGCTGAGCCTGGTGCCGGGATCCCTCTTGGGCTTGGGGGGAGGGGCTTGTCTCCTTGGTGACGGGGACCCGCCCCCCTCCTCCGCCCGTCGCCGTGGTAACGGGGACCCACCTCCCTCCTCCGCACGTCGCCTTGGCATTGGAGATGCTGGGGTGGGCGTGGCCTCTGGGGAGGGGAGGGGAGGGTTCACGTGACCACACACACACGCACGTACAAAGGCAAAGGTCTCTCTATAGCCTACACAGCCTGTTGGGGCGAGTGCTGCTAGCACACACACACCGACCTACAGGCACACAACAACAACCACAACCTCTACTCACCACTCACTGATGACCACCAGAGTGCGTGGTGCCCACATGCACACACCATGACCCAACCCTAACCTTTACCATCACCCTGAACTTGGCACTGCCCTTATTCCTCGCTCTAGGCCCACCAATGACTCCAGCCTCATATCTACCCCTGCACCATAACCCTGACCCCTATTAGATCCCTAACTCTGACTATAACCCGAGCCCGATCCTTTCCCCAACCCGATGCCTTAAATGAGACTCAAACCCTAACAACCGCCCTCCCGGGCCTGGTCTCTGAAGGGGTTAATCCCTCTTACCACGCTCCTCCCTCTGACACCCTTGCATCATCATCATCGCCTCCTCCTCCTCCTCGTCCCCGTGTTGCCATGGAAACGGTTGCCGTGCAACCACGGTCCCCACTTCGCCATCGCCGCCATCCAACTCTGCACGTTGCCGCGGCAACGGTTGCCGGGCGACGACGGTCCCTGCGTCGTCGGGAAGGGGACCCCATGGGGGCGCCGGCTCTCTAGCGGGGGAGAGCGGAGACGACGCTCTGACGGACAGACGGCCGGGCAGACGGACAGACGGACAAAAGAATGAACGATTTAATGAAGGAGTTTACATACAGATGAATGGACAAACAAGTAAACTGAGAGATGGACACAGACAAACAGTTGGAAGGACAGGTGAATGGATGGATGAATTGTTGGGTGGATGGTTAACTAGACGGATGGACAGTGATGGAGTAAGCGAGCATTGAAGCAGGCGACAGTGCCAACGAGCAAGTGATATTATAGGCGAGTGAATGAGCGGGTGAGTGATGGAGTGAGTGATGTAGTGGGTGAGTGACTGATGGAGCGAGCGAGTGAGGGAAGGAATGACGGAGCGAGCGAGTGAGAGAGCAAGTGAGTGACAGGGTGAGCAAGTGACGGAGCAAGTGACGGACCGAGTGAGTGATGGAGTGAGTGAGTTATGGAGTGAGTTAGAGCGAGTGAGTAATGGATTGAGTGAAAGAGCAAGTGAGTGACAGAGCAGGTGAGTGACAGAGCAAGCGAGTAACGGAGCGAGTGACAGAGCAAGTGAGTGAGTGATGGAATGAGTGATGGAACGAGTGAGTGAAGGAGCAAGTGACAGAGTGAGTGAGTGATGGAGCGAGTGAGTGGTGGAGCGAATGACAGAGAAAGTGAGTGACAGAGCAAGCGAGTGATGGAGCAAGTGACAGAGAGCGAATGACGGAGCGAGCGAAGTGATTGACAGAGCGAGTAATGGAGTGAGTGAGTGATCGAGTGAGTGATGGAGCGAGTGAGGGAGCGAGTGAGTGAGTGATGGAGCAAGTGAGGGAGCGAGTGAGTGACAGAGCGAGTGAGTGACAGAGCGAGTGAGTAAGTGAGTAATGGAGCGAGCGAGAGATGGAGGGAGTGAAGGAGCGATTTAGTGACAGTGCGAGTGACAGAGTGAGAGCGAGCGAGTGACAGAGTGAGTGGAAGAATGAGTGAGTGACAGAGCGAGTGAAGGAGTGAATAAGTGACAGAGCGAGCGAGTGGCGGAGCGAGTGACAGAGTGAGAGCGAGCGAGTGACAGAGTGAGTGACAGAGCGAGCGAGTGGTGGAGTGAGTGAGTGAGTTAGTTACAAAATGAGTGAGTGACTGAGCACATGAGTGATGGAGTGAGTGACGGAGCGAGCGAGTGACAGAGCGAGTGACAGAGCGAGTGACAGAGCAAGCAAGTGACGAAGCGAGTGACAGAGCGAGTGAGTGACAGAACGAGCGAGTGACGGAGCGAGTAACGAATTGCATGATGGAGCGAGTGAGTGACGGAGTGAGTGAGTGACAGAGCGAGCGAGTAACGGAGTGAGTGACAAAGTGAGTGAGGGACCGAGTAAGTGATGGAGCAAGTGACGGAGTGAATAAGTGATGGATCGAGTGACGAAGTGAGGAACAGAGCGAGTAACGGAGCGAGTGAGTGACGGAGCGAGCGCCTGAGTAAGTGACTGAGCGAGTGACTGAGTGAGTGATGGAGTGAGTGACGGAGTGTGTGACTGACAGAGCGAGTGAGTTATGGAGCGAGTGACGGAGCGAATGACTGGGCGAGTGACTGAGCGAATGACTGAGAAAATGATGGAGCGAGTGACAGAGTGAGTGACTGACAGAGCGAGCGAGTGATGGAGCGATTCATTGAGTGAGCGTGTGACTGAGCGAGTGACGGAGCGAGTGACTGAGCGAGTGACTGAGTGAATGACTGAGGCGAATGACGGAGCGAGTGGCGGAGTGAGTGACTGACAGAGCGAGCAAGTGATGGAGCGAGTGACTGAGCGAGTGACTGATGAAGTGAGTGACTGATGGAGCGAGTGACTGGGCAAACGAGTGACCGAGCGAGTGACCTAGCGAGTGACTGAGTGAGTGCCGGAGCGAGTGACTGAGCGAGTGACGGAGCGAGTGACGGAGCGAGTGGCTGAGCGAGCGAGTAAGGGAGGGATCGAGCGACCGTGGGAGTGAGCAAGGGAGCGACGGAGTGAGTGACGAAGTCAGTGAGTGATGGAGCGTGCGGCAGAGCGAGTCACTGAGCGAGTGACTGAGCAAGTAACTGAGTGAGTGAGTGAGGGAGTGAGCGAGCGAGTGAGGGAGAGAGTAAGTGATAGAACGAGCAAGTGAGGGAGCGAGCGTGAGTGACGGAGCGAGTGAGTGAGGGGGCGAGCGGCGCATCTCACCGCTGCCGCGTCTCCTCCTCGCGGCGCCACCGCTGAAGCTTATCCCGCAGATAGGCGCGGTGCGTCTCGGAGCGCAGGCGGTCACTCTCACGCGCGATGTCTGAGGCGTTCTGGATGACGAGCGAGTCGTAGACACGCAGGCACGCGTCCTCCACGCCTGTCACAAACTCGCGTGTCACCACCGCCTCCTGCCGGTGCACACTCATTGTGCGGCAGCGGCGCCGCCAGTGCACAAACCGGCGCACCGCTGTCAGAACAAGGGGCGGAAGGGGAGAGCGAGCATGGGTGAGCATGCGTGAGAGTGTGTGAGTGAGCATGAGTGAGTAGGTGAGCATCCGTGAGAGTGAGTGAGCATTCGTAAGAGTGAGTGAGCGTGCGCGAGGGAGTGAACGAACATGCGTGAGCGAGTGAGCACAAGTGAGCGTGCCTGAGTGAGTGAGTTAGCGAGCGAGTGTGTGTGCGAGCGAGCGATCGTGCGTGCATGCATGAGTGAGCGTGTGTGAGTGAGTGTGCATGAGTGAGTGAGTGAGCGAGCGAGCGAGTGGTGTACCCTGCTGGCAGATGACGATCTTGCGTCTCAGCTGCAGGCAGAGTGCAGCGAGGTGGTCGCCCTGCCAGTACTTGAGCAGCACACGCGACACTCCCACCTGGAAGCAGAAACATCATCAGCAACATCATCAGCAGCAACATGAGCATCAGCTGCAACATTAGCAGCAACAGCAGCAGCAGCAACAACAACATCATGATTAACAGCAGCAACATCAACATAACAATAATTTACACGTGTAAAATGGCACATTTCTTCCATATACCCCAATGCGCCACCTGGTATGGATAGCCAGGAAGTAAACAGAAACTGCAGGGTGCACGGCTTTTCAACACAGCAACATCATCTTGCAACACCATCATCATCAGCAGCAGCACCACCACCAGCAGCAGCAGCAACAATGGTAGTGGTGGTGCATCGTGAACATCATCATCATCAGCAGCAGCAGCAACAACAGTGATAGTGGTGGTGCATCGTGATCATCATCATCAGCAACAATTGTAGTGGTGGTGCATCATAATCATCATCATCAGCAGCAGCAGCAGCAGAACAGTGGTAGTGGTGGTGCATCGTGATCATCATCAGCAAGCAGAAGCAACACTGGTAGTGGTGGTGTGTCTGGGTGTGTGTCTATGTGTGTGTCTTCTGCCCCGAATAGGAGACACACACTGTTCCGACATCGGTGCATCCACACAACATCATGGATGCATGCCGGGTCCAAGAAAGAACATCTGCTAGACTACGTAGTGACGGACCAACAGATGCGAGCCCATGTTCTTGACACCAGGACCTACTGTTTAAGGTGATCTGCCCTCTGACCATCGACTTGTCATCTGTAAGATGCGCCTGCCATTCTTCCACTCCGGTGGTGGGTGTACACCCAGGATCCCATTCTAACCTAAGGTGGCCTGGTCTCAGCTAGCTAATGGAAGTTGCAAGGGAGAATTTAATCATCGATTGCGGCTGGGGTTGGCATCGTCCCCCACTCCTCCTGATGTTGAGGGTAAATGGGCGAGGTTTAGGACTGTGACTCATGCAGCTGCAATGGCTGCTTTGGGTACGCGGTCCAGACCTCCCCAGACACCCTGGCTGACAGAGGAGGTGCTCAGGATGGTTGAGAAAAAGCGACAAGCCCACTCTAATAATCTACAGCATCCCACGTCAGAGAATGAGGAGGCTTACTGCAGCCTTCACTCGGAGGTTCGAAAAGCCGTGATGCACTGCCAGGATGGGTGGTCGTCGTGGGTTGCTGAGGAGATGGAGTCTGCCTCAATGGCCCGCGATCACAAATCCCTATTTAACTCCATCAAAAAAGTAACCTGCAGCGCCACACCTATTACCATCATTAGGGGAAAGAACGGTGGTCCAATCTCTGACCCCCAGGAACAGGTTTGCAGATTTGCTGAGCATTTCTGTGAGGTCCTGGGGCAGGGGGAATCCCTCAGTCTGGAAAACATAATGGGACAAAGTGGGAATGACCCTGCTGAGGCTGCGGTGACTCAAATTTTGGAGGAGGAAGTCACCCCCTGTGAGTGGCTGGCTGAGGTGCCATCCGTTGAGGAAGTACTGAAGGCAATCCAGAGTCTGAGACGAGGAAAGGCACCAGGCAGAGATGATCTCCCGAGCAACATGCTGAGCGAGGGTGGCGTTTGTGCGCAGGCTGCCCTACATGACATCAGAACAACAGTCTGGGCTACTGGATGGGTTCAGCAGGGTTGGAAGGATGCCCTGGTGGTCCCCCCCTTTAAGAAGGGGGACTGCACAGACTGTAACAACTACAGGGGCATCTCACTCCTCAGTGTGCTGGGAAAGGTCCTGGCAAGGATTATTCAACATCGCCTTGCTAGGCACATTGAGGAGAGGCTTGCGGAGCCCGAATGCGGTTTCAGGAAAGGGCGGTCCGGCACAGATGCCAGATTTTCTGTCCGTCTGCTACAGCAGAGGTGTAGAGAATTCCAACAAGACCTACATATCTGCTTTATTTACCTGGTCAAGGCCTATGATACCATCAGTAGACCTGGACTCTGGGTTGTTCTTTGTGCTTTCGGAGTCCCTGACCCTCTGCTCATACTCATTAAGGACCTTCATGATGGTGAGCAGGCCCGGGTAAAACTACGTGGCCGGGAGTCAGAGCCATTCCCTGTACACCTTGGGGTGCGACAGGGATGTCCTCTGGCTCCAACATTATTTAACATCTATTTCGACCACGTAGTTCTTGAAGCCTTCAGTAGCTGTACTAGAGGAATTTCCATCTGGTACAGATACAATGGGAGGCTGATCGATGCCCGGGTGCGGTCAAGGAATGGCTCCCTATTGGTCAACCACGTTATGTATGCCGACGACCTGGTAATTGCGGCTCACTCAGAGGAGGAGTTGGAGGCCCTGCTGCTGAAACTGGAGTGTACCATCAGCCCCACCAAAACGAAGCACATGCCTGGGTATTTTGTACCATCGGGCACTCCACCCCCACAACTCCCAATCGGTGATGGGGCAGTTGTGGAGAGAGTGGAGAGTTTCCTATACCTGGGCAGTGTGCTCATGACCGGCTCCGGTTTACCAGCAGAGGTCTCACTCTGAATCAGTCGAGTGGAATAATCTTTTCATCGGTTGCATAATGCTGTGTGGAAGCTACCTGGTCTGTCACTCTGCACGAAGCTTTGGGTCTTCTCGGCCACAGTCATTCCCTCCCTTCTCTACGCTTGCGAAACGTGGACCCCCTTAAATGGAACATCTCCGCCGGTTAGAAACATTTAGGCTAGCCTGCCTACGATCAATCCTGGGTTTAACCAGGCTGGATTGTGTGAGGAGCTCACAAATCCTCATGAGCTCCTCCGGCAGGCAAGGCTGCATTGGCTGTGTCATGTAGCCCGCATGCTAAAACAGCTTTTGTTCGGCCGGATCGAGGGGGCTAAACGGGCGCGGCACGGGCTAGAGAAGAGATGGAGTGATGTGGTACAGGAGGATGTAGAGCTGAGTGGACTTGCCGATGACTGGTATCAGCGGTGTCAAGATCGGCCTCTGTGGAGGAGGCTCGTGAAGGACACTACTGGGCAGTTGGAGGCAGTTGCCCTCCAACAACAACAGAGGGCGGAGGAATGACGCTTACAACAACGAGCAGAGCGCCGGGTGGCTAAAGCACAGCAAGTTGGGACAGTAGGGGGCACAGGTGGTGCATCAGCCAGTCATCTCAGTCATTTCAGTCAGTCGACCCGTGGCACCTGGGTCTGCCCCGTAACCTCTTGCCAGCAGACGTTCGACACATGTGACCTCAAGGTGCACATAGCCTGGCACAAGCGTCGTGGTGACGTCACCGCCACTTAGTGGCGAATGGCGGTTGTTGTTGTGTGTGTGTATCTGGGTGTGTCTGGGTGTGTGTCTGGGTGTGTATCTTGGTGTGAGAATGTCTAGGTGTGTGTCTGGGTGTGTGTCTGGGTGTGTGTCTGGTTGAGTTTCTGGCAGTGCGTCAGGGTGTGCGTCAGGGTGTGCATCAGGGTGTGCGTCAGGGTGTGCGTCAGGGTGTGCGTCAGGGTGTGCGTCAGTGTGCCCCCATACCTGCCAGCCCTGGAGCTTTGCCACCTGTAGCACTGCCTGGCACGCGTCAGCGTCTCGCTGCCCGGGTCTCCGTGCACTCCACACCAGTGCCGTCAGCTCGGCGTACCTGCTCGCACACACACAGACAAAGGTCCCTCACCGTGAAGCCTTCACCCGCCATCGGGGTAAGTGCCATTAGCGAGCAGAAACTGTGAAGGCCAGCACGGTGCACGAGGAGGTGGGTGGTCAGCACTACGCCCGGCCATCTTTGTCTCCCCAGTGGCGATGATTTATTCACATTCACAGCAGCGCACCAGGTACTCATTTAAAACTGCGTGCTGTGCTAGTAACTATTTGGCACGTTTTTGTTTACGTGATAAACCTTACTAAATTGGCCGTGTCAGGTGGTGGCGGGTTAAGCGACACATTCATATATACGCGATCTAACCCAAAAAAACTCCATTACGGGTTGAACTAAACTATTTTATGTTACCAGGTGAGGCACACTGAGATTTTTAGAAGCGACCTGGCTATCAAGTGGCTTATCACGTAGACATTTTGAGCAGCAGCCAAATACTGTAAATGCATGATTCTAAATGTGGAAGGAAAAACCGGAGGACCCATAGAAAAATCCACGCGACCACTGAGAAAACACGCAAACTCCAAATATCAGCAGGCATCGTCAGGGTCGGGATCGAACCCACGACTTCCTGTATACCAGGCGAGGTTGTTAACATCTTCCAGCCACAGCGGCGCCCTTTAAGGTTGAGTCGTCTAGAATAAGAACCTCACTGGAAACCCACGCATCACGCCTCCTGGGTATGACGTTCGTCCTCTAAGACACTGGTGGTGGTGGCGCACCCATCAACCGCATCAGAACATCAGCAGGTCGATGCGCACATCTCATCTCTTTATAAATGGTCGTTGTGTGTGGTTTGTTGTCCTTCCCCCTTGCTTCCGGTGAGTGCAGTTGGCTACATACGTTGCCGAAAGGATTTCAATGTACATACACACATACTCCTTCATACGTGGAAAATAAAAGACATAAGCCAGTCGTGCAATTGTGGCCATGCAACACAAATGAGTAACCAAGTAGCAAACCCATAGAGATACATAGAGATTCATAGAGATACATACAGATACACAGAGACACATACAATCTTATAGCGACTCATAGAGATACACAGACACATACAATCCCATAGCGACTCGTAGAGATACACAGAGACCTATAGAATAACATAGAGACACATACAATCCCATAGCCACTCATAGAGATACACAAAGACCCATAGAGGTACAGAGGCACACAGATAAATACAATCCCATCATGACTCACATACAGAGACCCATTGAAATACAGAGACACATAGAGACAAATATAATCCAATCCCGACTCACTGAGATACAGAGACACATAGAGATACAGAAAGACACACAGAAATGTACAGTATTAAAAACAAACCACTGTGGTGCGTTTGTGGCCAAGCAATCCAATCATCTCTGGACTGCAGAATGAACACACTGTGGTCTCTGCTCCTTCACTCTATATATGCATGTTGAAAACATATTTTGCACTGTACTTAGCCAATAGCTACAACAGCAGCAGCTACAGCAGCTACAGAAGCAGCAGCTGCAGCAGCTACAGCAGTCGACCTCGGCATGGAGCCCCTGAAGCTGACTGTGGTGGTATGCAGGAAGTGCGTGGATGAGGTCAGCCTGACGGAGGGCCGGGACCGGCTCAGGGCATTGGCCACCGACGTTGCCCGTGGACCGGGGGAGGTATACGAATCTCGGCTCGCCGGAGGTCACGAAGCGCGGCGTCGCCGACTGCTGTGCTGCTGCCGAACAACGGCAGGCCTCAAAATGGGAGGTCCCGAGACGCCGAGTGGCCAGTGACAAACGGCGCCTCACAAATAAATGTAAATTATTATTGGTAGATGTGTAGTAACGTTGATGGTATCATTATGCTGTTAGTGTGGTGACTGAGTTGAGTCATTATGGTGGATGGCGCCACCTGCTGGTGATGCACGTCGCTCTCTATCAGCAGACATGGGTTGCCATGGAAGCGGAACATGGGGGATGGTTCTGGTGAGGGTTGAAGGTGAACAGGTGCGGACGTGCTGCCCGGTGTGAACCGGAGAGGGCACGTGACCGGCACGGGGTAGCAAGGGGACCCGAAGGGGGACCCGAGGGGTATCTGATACGAGCCGGGAGCCTTCTGGCAAAATCTAGAAGGGGGCGGGGCCGAGGGCGGGGCGAGGCCGCGCTGAACGGGATAAAGGGGAAGCCCCGACAGTGATCGGGGCTCGTATGTGAAATTAACCCTGGGTACTACGTCTTCACTCGGCATCGTGGGTCAGGCAGCACGTAGGCTGACTGACCCGTTCGTGTTGCCTGCGACTCCAGTGCGTGCCTCCGTGAAGAACACTACAGCTGTATTAGCGCACAGGCAAGAGCGCGTGCACACGCACGCACATGCGTGCAAACGGACGCACACGCATGCACACGCACATGCAGGCATGCACACGCACATGCAGGCATACACACACGTACGCGCACACACACCATGACACCCAAATACAAATAATACCAATACCCGCCATTCACCACTAAGTGACGGTAACGTCGCCACAGCATGTGCCAGGCCAGGTGCACTTTGAGGCCACGTGAAGTATCGTAGGCTCGCTCTCAGAGGTCTCGAGACAGACCCAGCAAGTGCTATGGATTGGCTGACTGATATAACTGGTAGATGCACCAGCTGTACCACTACTGTGCCAACTTGCTGTATTTTAGCCGCCCGGCACTCCACTCGTTGCTGTGATAATCGCCCCTCTGCCCTCCATTGTTGCTGGAAGGCGACTGCCTCCAACTGTCCAGTAGCGCCCTTCATGAGCCTTCTCTTAACACCGCTAATACCAGTCGTCGGCAAGTCCACTTAGTTCCACATCCTCTCGTACCGCATCAGTCCATCTCTTCTCCAGCCCATGTCGTGCCCGTTAAGGGTCATCTCCACCTTGCCGCATGATGTCCTCTGCAAACCTGCAGACCTACTCCTGGGGGTCAGATATCGGATTACTATTTTTTCCCTTAAGGATGGTGATAGGTGAGGTGCTGCAAGTTCTTTTTTTATAGAATTAAATAGTAATTTGTGATTGCAGGATACTGAGGCAGATTCCATCTCAGCAGCCCACGCCCACTACTCATCCTTGCAGCACCGCACGGCTCTCCGAATGTCCGAGCGAAGGCTGCGGTAAGCCTCCTCATTCTCCGATGTTGGGTGTTGTAGACGATGGGAGTAGGCCTGTCGTTTTCTGTCAACCAGCCAGAACACCTCCTTCAGCCAGGGTCTCTGGGGAGGTCTGGACCACATACCCAATGCAGCCATTGCTGCTGCATGAGTGACAGTTCTGAACCTCACCCATTTCCTCTCAGCATCAGAAGGAGGGGGGCATGATGCTAACCTCAGCTGCAAGCGATGTTGAAATTCCTGCGAGCAACTATCCTCAGATAGCTGAGCCCAGGCCACTGTGGGCTTGAATGGGATCCTAGATGGACACCTACCACCGGAGTGGAATAATGGCAGGCGTATCTTACAGATGGCAAGTCGATGGTCAGTGGGCAGATCAGTTCCACGGTAGGTCCTCATGTTAAGGACATGGGCATGCATCTGCTGTCCGTCACTATATAGTCCAGGAGATGTTCTTTCTGGGACCCGGCGTGCATCCATGATGTGTAGATGAACTAATGCCAGAACAGCGTGTTCATAATTACAAGCCCATGGGCTGCACATACGTCTTACAGCCTCCTACCGTTGTTATTGAGCTGATCTTGCCCATGCCTTCCGAACACTCCAACCCAGGTGTCTGCATCATGATCCACTTGGGCATTAAAGTCACCTAACAGGATGACCCTATCCCTAGGGGCCACTTTAGCTAGCACCCGGGACAGGAGGTTATTGAAGGCGTCTGACTCATCAGCCTTGTCTGCATCCATCCACTGATATTCATCTTCAGTGTGGACATAAGTAACCACGACCACTACTTCTCGCCTCTTGTTTATGGAGAGGCCAGCCCACAGTAGCACGGGACTCACAGCTTCCCATACCTCACCGCCACGCTCCCACACCCCCCTCATGCTTGTTCAAAAGAAGTGCCACTCCCTGCTGTTTAGTAGTTTCCTCTCCCAAGTGGAGAACTGTCCACCCCTTATGATGACTGGAGCCAGAACCGGTCCAGTGGAACTCCTGTGTTCCACAAAATTCCAGGCAGTACCAGTCCATCTCCCGACAGAAGAGTGGAAGCCTCTCCTCCGCAACGAGTGTCCACACACATACGCTCTCACATGCGCACACACACACACGCACATATGCACACATGCACACACGCACATATGCACACATGCACATATGCACACATGCACACACATGCACACACACGCCACACATGCACACACACTCCAAGCTGGCACAAACATGCACAACAAAGACAAAGATCCCCAGTGTAGCCTTAACAGACTGTTGGGGCAAGTGCTGTTCGCGAGCACCTATAAATACTGGCACAACACACGGGGTGGTGGGTGGCCAACACCATGCCCGTCTGCCTTTGTCTCTCCAGTGGCGATGTTTTTACACACCATACCAGGTACTCAATTTGAGGCTGAGTCGACCTAGGGGAGGCCCAGGACCAGTTCAAATAATCGTTCCTAGAGAATCGAACTCGGGTCACCAGGTTCATAGCGCAGTGCATAACCACACACACACACGCAAAACCCTCGTGTAGCCTCTATATAATTAAGTGGAGAACCTCACGTAATGCAATGCACTTAATTTGTGCTGTCACTGGTGACTGGGATGAGACCATCAAATCGCTAGAGACCGCGGTGTAACTACAACTCAGTCTATAGATCTCTTTGTGAGTGTATGGATCATTATGTAAATCTATGATTGTCTATGTATGTCTAAGACTCTATGCAAGTCTATTGGTTTATATGAGTCTATGGGTCTATATCTGAGTCTATGGGTCTCTGTGTGAGTCTACAGGTCTCTGCGTGAGTCTATGGGTCTCTATGCGAGTCTATGGGTCTCTATGCGAGTATATGAGTCTCTATGCGAGTATATGAGTATCT